GAGCCTGATAAGCCAAGCTGTGAGACTGGAAAGGAGTGGGAGTTTGGAAGGCCTTTTCCCAACAGACTCTCAGAATGCTGAGAGTTCCCTGGAAAAGTCAATCCATCCAGGCTTAACAAGAATTCAGTTTTATCCAGGGTGTGGGCTAATTCTATCCTAAACTGCCTGGGAGCCTGGGGGGAGACTAAAGCTTCAGTAATTGGTAAGCACTTGCAAACAAAATATTGTCTCCAGCAGAAGTTTTTTTGTTTGCTTGTATGTTTTGTTTTTGTTGGTCCTGGAGCTTGAACTCTTGGGCCTGGGCGCTGTCCCTCAGCTCTTCAGCTCAAGGCTAGCGCTCTACCACTTGAGCCACAGCGCCACTTCTGGTTTATTTGGAATGTTTTGTTGGAGATAAGAGTTTCACGGACTTTCGTGCCCAGGCTGGCTTTGCACTGCGGATCCTCAGATCTCAGCCTCCTGAGTAGCTAGGATTCCAGGTGTGAGCCACCGGCGCCCAGCTCCAGTAGAAGTTTTTACCTTACATTCTGCACATGATTCCCTGTGGAAAACCAATAAAAACTTTGGAAAATGGAACCTTGGGGTCTGAAATTGTTGGAAGGCTACAGGTCCCCTGCTACCCTAAACCCCAATTTCATGGTCTGGCCTTTGTTACTGGCTTGCTCCCAGTCTCGGCCCAGCCCATTAAGAGGCATGTGGCAACAATTTTTTTGTTGTTGTTTTTCCAGTTCTAGGACTTGAACTCAGGGCCTAGGTGCTGTCCCTGAATTTTTGTTTAAGGCTAGTGCTCTACTACTTGAACCACAGCTTCACGTTTAGCTTTTATGGTGCTTAAGTGGAAATTAGAGTCTCATAAACTTTCCTGCCCAGGCTGGCTTTAAACCACTCTCCTCAGATCTCAGCCTCCTGAGTAGCTAGGATTACAGGTGTGAGCCACCAGTGTCCCAGCGGCTGGCAGAGAAATGTCCAAATGAGAGAAGACCATACTTAGATTAAAACAGTAGGAGCAGAGAATCTTGGGAGGGGGAGGGGTTCTATAAAAGCAAAGTAAAGCCTGGAAATTTATGTTCTGGGAACATTGCAGTGTTTTTCATAAGGAACCAAAACACCCAACTCTGCCAATCCAGCCCAAATAGCACTGGACAGGGGAGAAAACAGACTAGAGATCTGAGTAAGAGAAAGTAGGAGAATATGGCTAAGAGCAGAGAGGCTGAAGCATAAAGAGAGACAAAATAATTGTAACGGGGATGGGGAGGGGGCAGAAAGAATCCACCAGAGAGAGCAAAGTCAAGAGCAGAGAGCTTTATTAGGGTGCAGCAAACTGACCAGCCAGGGACACAGCACAGACTCTGAAGCTGTAACTGTGACCCTGAACCAGCGATGGGGTTTAGTTTATAAAGACACGAACCGCTAAGCAAGTGGGAGTTGTACATTCCAGAAGCATGACATGTGCCCCTGCATCCTTGAAGCTGGGGTTTGTTACAAAGATAGCTACGGGAGAATTATTACAAAGATAGCTACAGGTGGATACACAATGTGCACACCGAGGCGTCTACACCCTTGAAGCAGGAGGCAATCCCGGGGTGGGGTGCGTGGGGTGGGGTGCACATGTCTCATGGCAGGCGCCATTCTAATTAGGCAGGGTATGAGATAGGGCCGAAGTATGTGTGAAATGAAATCTGTTTTAAGGTCTCCCTTTATGGCCTCTCTTTGTTTTTAGTAAAGGGTCAATTTCCTGGCTTCGTTTTCTCACATAGTCCAGGACTTTAACAGTCTAGGAGACCCTTCCCTCTTACAATAATTAAGTTTGCTTCAACCTCAAATAGGAGGGGAGAAGAAGAGCATCCATGGGTCCAGTCTAAAGGAGACATATTTACTGCAGTCACAGCACATTTTCTTTCTCTCTCCTTTTGTTTCCTTTCATCTTCCTCCCTCCCTCTCTTTCTTTCTCTCCCTCCTTCCTTCCTTTTCTCCTCCCTGTACTCCTGCTTCCTTCCCTCCCCCTTAGCACCCCCTTCCCCCACTCTCTTCCCCTCCCTTTCATTCCACCCCCTTCTTCGTGATACAGGGTTTTACTGTTGCTCAGTCAGACCCAGAACAGATAATCCTCCTGTTTTACCCTCCCAAGTGCTGGAATTATGGGTATGTATCAGTGTGCCTGGCCAAGGAAGTGATTTAAAATGAAATACTTTATAAATGTTCTTTAACCTCTTTTAGGAAGAGTTACTGGCACAACTTTATGCAAGCATTGCCTTTAAGGATTTCATCCTAAGCAGAGGCTACAGGATGCCCACGGTAAGTGTAAGGTATATTAAATAAGTAGATTTCATTAGGTAGCCAATGAAGAGAACACCACATGCTATTCAGGCAGGAGAGATTTATTTATCAAACTGCTGCCCTCGCCATGCACGGTGGAGAGGCATGGCTGAAAAGGAAAGAGGGGACCCACCCCTGGGCCAGGACTTATCTAGACCAGGGACAGGAAGAGGTGTGGCCAGGTGGGGGAAAGGTGTGGCCACACTGGATCTGGATGTGACCTCAGGGTCTGAGATGCTCCTACGGTCAGATGTGTCCAGAGTTGGCTCAGGATGTGACCTAGCAGGAGGGGAAAGTGACTGCTTCCAGGTGTGCCAGTTACCTAGGTAACAGATACTGGTTGGAAACTTAGCCAAGAGTTAGGGAGGTGTCCCTGTGCAGACTTTATAGTAAGTAAAACCTTTTGTGAAGCGCTGCTGGGGGGGAAGGGGGTTTCCCAACTCTCAGGTGCTGATAAGGGGTTAGTACCTGGCAATATCAGAGCACCTAGCTCATTGGCATCCACCCAGACTCGCTACCATGGAGGAAAGATCATGCTTTTCCCAGATAGGGATTGCAAATATTCTACAAATGTGGTTTCTCATTCAGGATAGCTATCCTTTTTATTCTGCCTGTTGGTTTTCACTGTTGTCAGAGGTGTTGTCTTCCAGTCACTATTTGACTCACTTTCCTTGGATTGGGTGTCTGTGGGACCAAAGTGAAAGGAATCCATATTGGAGGCATTTACCTTGTGAATCCTGACCTCTACTTAACCATTTTGAACTCTCCAAAGTCTTCATGTTGCCTTTACTCTCGGGGCACATTGCTGTAGCTTGGGTCAGGAGAAAATATGTGGGAAATGCAATTTTACAACTGTAAGCATGAGCTCAAGTGGGAACAAACTAGGGAAAAGTTTCACTGCTGGGATTTGCCAGTATCTTCTGCCTTTCAGCCTGTCTTCCATTCTGTCTTCTGTTTTCTACTTCTTTCACTTCTAAAGGGAAGGCCCCAGCCTTCCCCAATCCCATAATGCCCTGCTTCTCACTGGGAAGATCAGAGTGGGAATTGGCAGAGTGGATCCATCAGCAGGCGAGCCTCCATCCTGGAGAAAAAGGTCCTGTAAAGATTTTTGTCCAGGCTAGTCTCAAACCATAATCCTCCTGTTCTCAGCCACCCAAGTAGCTAGAATGGGAGGCATGAACCACTGGTGCCCAGCAAATACAATTTGTGTTATTACATAATAGTCCACATAGTTTGAGACACACTATATAAATATATAATTATGTGGTATTGTTGTAAAGTGACAAAATGAAGAAGCCACATTTTGAGAGGAGTCTTTATTGGCGTGCTAGCAGTCTGTCGGTAGCCAATTATTACAAAGGTCTTCATCCCACAAATACACTTATAGTTAGGAAACAGGCCAGAGAAGAAGGAACAAAAACAATACCAACAAATCAATTCAGCTCCAATGGAGAGCTCCATGGGGACCAGAGCACAACCAGGGGAAAGGACAGGAACATGGAGACACGGGGCATTGTGCCTTGGCATCTGAGCTGTTCTGTGCCTACACAGGGCCAGGTCAGGGGACAGGGTCACAGGAAACTGTGACAGTCCCAGGCACTGACAGATTTATTAACCTATCAGCCAGATGCCTGCCCCTGCTCCCAGGGATTTAGATATGCCCGTCACCTGGGAAGTAGGACTTCCCCTTCCCTCACCATGAAGACGAGATGCCAGACCCTTACCATATACCATATGGCCAATATGGTGCTGGCCAGACTTATTTGTTTTTATTATGTTTCATACTTCTACCTTAACATTTCCAGTGCATTTCTTTTCCCCTCGGTTGGTTTAACTCATTCTGTTGATGAGCACGTAGATTGATTTGGGGCAGAAGCACTAAGTGTCCTCTTCAGCTACATTAACACACACAGATGATGGCCCTGCCTACAGCTGAGCTCTCCATGAACACAAGTCACTCAATCCTACAATATTTTATCCCTTAATTCATACTTCCTATCACCTCTATTTTATTGATAAGATCCTATCTCCAGGGGCTGGGAAGGTGGCTCAGTGATAGAGTGCTTGCCTTGCATGCCTGAGGCCCTGGGTTCAATTCCTCAGCACCACATAAGCAAAAAGAAAAAAGCTGGAAGTGGCTCTGTGGCCACTATCTCCAACTAAATTACATAGGTTTAATTAGGTGGCTGATGAAGAGAACACCACTCATATTTAGGCAGGAAGAGGAGTATTACTGAACTGCCACCTCACCTCACCTGCGGAGAAGCATGTGGTAGAAGGGGCCACCCATCCCTGGGCCAGGACTTATTTAGGCCAGGGACAGGAAGAGGTGTGGCCAGGTGGGGGAAATGTGTAGCCACAATGGATCCAGATGTGACTTCAGGGCCTGGGACCCTCCCCTGGTCCGATGGGAGGTGCGACCTGGGACGGCCCAGGATGTGACCTTGGAGGAAGGGAGGTGACTGATTCCAGGTGTGCCAGTTACCTAGGTAATGCAGGGACCCAGTGAAACTTAGCCAAGAGGTAGAGAAGCATCTGCACAAGGCCTGCATAGCCCAGGGCAGCAGAACTTAAAATGGTCTCAGGGTTGAAGTGATAGAATACCAGTCATGAGCAAGAAAGCTGAGAGAGAGGAAAGAACATGAGGCCCTGAGTGGTACTGGGACACACACACACACACATTACATACATATATGAAGTGTCACAGTCAGTGAGATACATGCACATCACAAACTATATACACTGGCATTACTTAAATTTATGTGATCATTTTCTCTTACCCAAAATGTATACTTTGCTCACAGCTTCATTCCTTTTGCTATCCAGATGGATTCCAGGCCTTTAATAACAGAAGAGATCAGCAGCCTAAGGTTGGGCTAGGCTGGGCTGGGCTGGGCTGGACTTGGGCACAGGAGCAGTATGGATCCAATCAGAAGATTTCTGATGCTGCAGAACACCCCATGTTGTACAGTAGAGTGTGAGAGCCTGATAAGCCAAGCTGTGAGACTGGAAAGGAGTGGGAGTTTGGAAGGCCTTTTCCCAACAGACTCTCAGAATGCTGAGAGTTCCCTGGAAAGTCCATCCATCCTGGCTTAACAAGAATTCAGTTTTAGGGCCGGGAAGGTGGCTCAGTGGTAGAACGCTTGCCTTGCATGCATGAGGCTCTGGGTTCCATTCTTCAGCACCACATAAGCAAAAAGGAAAAAAAAGCCAGAAGTGGCGCTGTGGCTCAAGTGGTAGAGCACTAGCCTTGAGCTGAAGAGCTGAGGGACAGTGCCCAGGGCCAGAGTTCAGGCCCCAGGACTGGACCAAAAAAAAAAAAAATTCAGTTTTATCCTGGGTGTGGGCTAATTCTATCCTAAACTGCCTGGGAGCCTGGGGGGAGACTAAGGCTTAAGCAACTTGTTAGCTGTTTACTGTTTAGCTCTCATTCCCAAGATAAAAAGATCTTCCAGCACTTGTATACAAAATATTGTCTCCAGTAGAAGTTTAAACCTTACATTCAGCACGTGGTTCCCTATAGGAAACGGAGAGATACCTTGGTGAACAGAACCTTGGGATCTGAAGCCATTGAAAGGTTGGTTACAGGTTGGGCTGGGGGTTTAGCCCAGAGGAAGGGCGCCCACCCGGCAAGCGCAAGGCACTGGGTTCGGTCCTCAGCCCTGGAAAAAAAAAAAAAAGCTACAAAAGAAAGGTTCCATGTCTCCTGGCTCCTAAACCTCAACAGCAGTCCTGTCTCTGTCACTACTTTTTCCCTCCGTTGAGGCAGGTTGTGGGTCCGCAGCAGATTTCAGATCCATGGTGGTTTGCGACAGTAGAGATGTACAATACAGATGTTGTCTAAGGACCAACATCTCTCATAAGCAAATTTACCAGGTGTTAGCGAATGAGCTCCCTTCCCATAGCTTAGTCCATTCCTTTGCCACAGCTTAGCATGCTCCCTTCCTAGGCAGCACTAGGCCCATGTAGTAAAGGCAGTAAATAATCAGCCTCCAGCCCCCTTTACCTTGGGATGGCACTCCTCTGGGGCAGCTACCACCATATAAGGCAGCAAGAGCCCCTTAGAGTGACCTTCAGGTCGGGGCAGTTGTAGGACCCTTATCTACTACTTGGGCAGCAGCCATAAATCCTAGTCCAACATGATGAAGCCCCTGGCCTGCACATCCACACCAGAGTTTGTGCCTCCTAGCCCCTCTTAGACCTTCTAGGTTATATAGGTCACCCCAGACAATAGCTGGCTCTTCTTCTCACTTCTCCCTTGTGAGAAGGAGTCTTGCCAGCCCCCTTTCCCAGCAATAAACCTTTCTTTGTTCTCTGAACCTGAATGTCTGCATGGTTCTCTGGCAAAGTCTAATAAATCTTTTTTTTTTGGTTGGCCGTGGGGCTTGAACTCTGGGCCTGGGCGCTGTCCCTCAGCTCTTCAGCTCAAGGCGAGCGCTCTACCACTTGAGCTACAGCGCCACTTTCGGTTTTTCTGGTGGTTTATTGGAGATAGGAGTCTCACGGTCTCTCCTGCCCGGGCTGGCTTTGAACCGCGATCCTCAGATCTTAGCCTCCTGAGTAGCTAAGATTACAGGCGTGAGCCACCAACACCTGGCCTAATTAATCTTTTTTAAGCTTACACTAGGATTCAACTTCTCTAGTGTACAATTATATATCAGAGTGTGAGATTTTCAATTTGGGTAGTGGTTACGAGATGGCTTTTATACAATTTTTGTTTGGCAGTCTAATGAAGGGTCTTTTTTTTTTTTTTTTTTAGTTCCTTGAGAAGATATACATTGGAAAGCAAGGCAAATCTCAACTCGATAAGACTCCTCCTAAACTCACTTTGCGCATAGAAGAATGTTGGACAGATGATGAGGCATGTGTTATTGATTATTGACTCTCGCGTTTCAAACATTACGTAGAACTTACCGTGCGTGTCCTACTAAGGATGTAAAGCTGACTGCGACACCTCCATAAATGTTAGACCTACTACCTATAAACGTTCCTCAGTGGCTTTCTACCAACTAGGAAGTCAGTATTTGGCTATAGTCTTTCTACATTGTTATATTGTGGTGACTATTATGGAGGTCTATAAGTTGGTTGTAAAAGTAAATAAAATAAAAATAAAACAGAATTACTCACTTGAATTCTAGCAGGGTATTAATTTTCCCTGGTTTTGAGTGAGTACCTCTTTCCCTTTCTTTAAAATAGTTATTACATGTCTTGATAATGCACTAGTACGTAAAATATAAGGTTATAAACTCAGAAAATTCAATGAAAATGCAAGATAGCATATTTTGATCGCTTCTTAAAAATCACTTTTTTATGCTAGGAACTGATGGCTCATGCTTGTAAGCCTAGCTACTCAAAAGGCTGAGATCTAAGGATTGTGGTTCAAAGCCAGCCTAGACAGGAAAATCTGTGAAACTCTTATCTTCAATTAACCACCAAAAAAGCTGAAAGTGGAGTTATGGCTCAAGTGATGGAGTGCTAACCTTGAGCAAACAGAGCTCAAGGACAGCACCCAGGCCCAGAGTTCAAGCCCCAGGACTGGTACACACACACACAAAACACTTATTTTTATTAAAAATATTAATGATGATGTTAGGAAAACTAGGAAATATAGACAAACAAAAAGGATATGGAAAATACTAATAATTCCACTAGAATCAGCAGCCATAACTCTACTAATTGGAATCAATTCTTCTAGATCCTTTTCTAAGAAATATGCTCTGGATACTTTAAGCAAAAGAGGAATATATTGAGAAGATATTGCTGTTACAGAAAGCCAGATTTTGCGTTGGCCTTACCTAGAACAGAACTGAGCTGGTACAAATATCTCTCTTGATGCCCTGGGCATCAACACAGAGGTCACCATCAGCACTGGACTCTGTATGAGATCACCATCAGCATCATTGCCACCCGTCCCCATATGAATTCTGCCAAAAGTGTCTCACAATCTCAGTTGAAGAGTTTGGTGTCACGTGGGTCTAATGTCTGTGAGACAAGAGCAGCCTAGCCTTTCCTCATGCTGATGGGAGAGGATGCTACCTAATAATAGCTTAGGGAGTCCAAATATCTCACTGCAGATGGAGTCTAGATGATTAGCCCCTTAAATATGCAGTGCTAGCAGGGTGTTGGTGGCTCATGCCTGGAATCCCAGCTACTCAGGAAGCTGAGATCTGAGGATCGGGGTTCAAAGTCAGCCTAGGCAGGAAAGTCTGTAAGACTCTTATCTCCAATTAACCATCAGAAAACCGGAGTGGCACTGTGGCTCAAAGTGGTAGAGCACTAATCTTGAGCAAAAGAGCTCAGGGACAACACCTAGGCTCTGAGTTCAAGACCCACAACTAACAACAACAAATTTTGTCTCTGTCTCTCTACCTATATGCAGTACTATTCTACCTCCACCCCTTTTTTCCCATTACAAAAGCATAGTCTGGAAGCTAAGTGAGTGAACTTGTGCCTAGCATGGGTAAAGCCCTAGCTTTCATCCCCAGGAGGGAAAAAACAACACAAACAAATAGAGGATCTTTTTCATTACTACATCAACCTCCAAATACAAAATAACTGGGTGATGTGGCCTTTCATCCTCCAGGCCTGTTATGATCCCATCTGAACAATTTTACGATGAACTAAGTACATTATAAATCTGCTTATCAGGAACACACTGGTGACTGGAAAAGTGATAGGAAAAGAAGAAACTTTTGGAGAAATATACTAGATATGAGACAGCAAGAAAGCATGCATACTGCCGGGAGCTGGTGGCTCATGCCTCTTCATGGTTCTAAGGCAGCCCAAACAGGAAAGTCCATAAAATGTTTATCTCCAATAAATCAACAAAAAGTTCAAGCCCCAGTATAGTCACATACTCCCACACAAAGAAAAAGAAAGAGAAGAAAAAGAAAGCATACAAATATATATTCATCTCCACATCTGGTCAAAAGGCTGTTGTGGCTATATATAATTTCCTCATCCACTTTCCATTCCACGTTCTTGTTGTTTTTTGTCTTTTCTTTTCTCTCCACCCCCCACTCCCTCTCCTTCATTTCCTCCTCCTCCCCTTCCTGTACTGGGATTGAGCTCAGGGTCTGCGTGCTGTCCCTTAGTTTTTTACTGACGACCAGAGCTCACAGCAAGGCACTGGTGGTTCATGCCTGTAATCGTAGCTACTCAGGAGGCTGAGATCTGAGGATCACAGTTTGAAGCCAGCCCAAGCAAGAAAGTCCACGAGACTTTTCTCTCCAATTAACCACTAAAAAGCCAGCAGTAGAGCTGTGACTCAAGTGGTAGAGCTCAAAGCCTTTATGTAAAATGGGATAGCATTAGAACATAAGCCCACACAAATGCTCCTGTACTATGTGAGTCACGTCTATATTATTTACAATGCAAATGTTATGCACTAGTTGTTTTTAACAGGAGAAGAAAAAAAACCAGCGTATACATTTCAGTCGAGTTGATTGCAGACCCAAATACTCTTTCCCAGTTGGAGCTGTAAATGAGGTCAGACAAGGGCTGGGAAGGTGGCTCAGTGGTAGAGCACTTGCCTTGCATGCATGAGGCCCTGGGTTATATTCCTTAGCACCCACATAAGCAAAAAGAAAAAAGCCGGAAATGGTGGCTCAAGTGGTAGAGTGCTAGCCTTGAGCTGAAGAGCTGAGGGACAGTGCTCAGGCCCAGAGTTCAGGCTCCACGACCGGACCAAAAAAAAAATTAAAAAAAAAAAAGAGGTCAGACAGTTAGGGGAGCTGGAGTGCTGAACCCGTAGTGTCAACCCACTATTTCATTAGTTTGGCTGCAACATTAGTGTCTTTGCACGCACACACACACACACACACACACACACACACACACACACACAATTTATTGCCAGTACTAGGGCTTGAAGTAGGGTCTGAATGCTATCCCTTAGCTTTTTTGCTCAAGTCTGGCACTCTACCACTTGAGCCACAGTTAGAACAGCTTTTTGGTGGCTAATTGAGTATAATAGTCTTAGGGTCTTTCCTGCCCAGGCTGGCTTCAAAACCATGATCCTCTGATCTCAGCTTCCTAAGTAAGATTACAGACGTGAGCCATTGGCTTAAGTCTCCTCGTTTAAAATCAAGATGATCTCAATCTCCTAGAGGAAAAGTTACAAGTATGGACAGCAGAACTTGGCACAGTACACGCACACTAAATGTTAGCTGGCTTTAGAGCTTGGAGGATCAGATAACCCCTTTTAATACTGGAGACCGGTCACATGGCTGTCCACTGTCTCACAATCAGGCTGCTGTACGTGCTACTTCCTAGCAAAAGCCAAGATCTGTTTTTCAAAAGGAGTCACAAGGGTTTATAGTTCAGCTGCAAACCTCTGAGGGCCCACATTAGAATTCTTTCTGTGTGTCTCTCTTTTCTTTTAAAGACCCATCCAGCAGCCCTATCTGGCACTGGTGCTTCAGGCACATTGGCTGCACTAGGCAGAGGACAGAGCTTCCTGGCTAAGCAGAAAGCCTTCTCCCACATCATGTCGCTCTAACCAGCCTCTCAGATGACTAAGGAGCTGAACCAGCATGTCTAAATCTGGCCACCTTATCACTTTGCAGCCTTTTGGCTAATGTCAAGTGTAAAGCTGCCTTCTAGAATCTGGAGCTCTCTGCTGTGTGGTGTTTCTGACACCCAGACATGATGGACATAAAAAAACACAGGCAGGGAGAATAACTGTATTGAACATGTTGTTAACTAGCAAGTGCTGATGTCTGAATGACTGCTTTTGTCCTAAATATCACTCATGTAGCTGCAAGTGTCCATAATTTAAATTTTAGTCATGGTTGTTGTTTAAGAAACCAGCTCTCTAAATTCTTGAGATTTTGTCAATGGTTTGTTTTTGTCAGGTGTAAAGCTTTTAAACTCAGGGTCTCTGTGCTATCCCTGAGCTTTTCTGCTCAAGGCTAATGTTCTATCACTTTAACCCACAGTGCCACTTCCATTTTCTGGTGGCTAATTGGAAATAAAGTCTCATGGACTTTCCTGCCTGGGCTGGCTTTGAATCCTGATCCTCAGATCTCAGCTTCCTGAGTAACTAGGATTACATATGTGAGCCACCAGCATCTGGAAATATATTTTTCTTTTTATAGTTCTAGGGCTTGAACCCAAGGCTTTGCCCATACTAGGCAGGTGTTCTACCACCATAGCTTCAACCTCAGTTCTGTTTTGTTGTTGTTGGTGGTGGTGGTGGTCATGGGGGTTGAACTCTGGGCCTGGGCGCTGTCCCTCAGCTCTTCAGCTCAAGGCTAGTGCTGTACCACTTGAACCATTGTACCACTTCCCATTTTCTGGTGGTTTATTGGAGATAAGAGTTTCACAGACTTTCCTGCCCAGGCTGGCTTCAAACCCTGATCCCCAGATCTCAGCCTCCTGAGTAGCTAGGATTACAGGCATGAGCCACCAGCACCCAGCTTTTTTTTTTTATCTTTAGTTACACAAACGGGTTTCAATTCAACAAGTCAGATAATGAATACATGGATCAATGTTATCCCTTCCATCATTCTCTCCCATCTTTCTCAGTCTTTTTGTTTTTGAGAAAGTATCTTTCTATCTTTTTGCCTGGTCTGGCCTCGAATTCATGATCCTCTTGTGTCCATTAGGTTTAAAGTTGTAAGCCACCAGAGCATTTTTAAGATGTATGTTAGCAAATTTTAAAATCTGTCCGCAGAGGGGATTTCATGGTTTCATTTCCATACATGTTTACAATAGATTCTAATCAATCTCACTACTCTCTCCTCCCTTTTTCCCAAAACAATTTCAACACGTTTCATGATTGTATTTCAACGGACTTTTTTTTGTTGTTGTTTTTCATGGGGCTTGAACTCTGGGTCTGAGCACTGTCCCTAAACTCTTCAGCTCAAGGCAAGTGCTCTA